TTATTATTTCTTTAACAACGAAACTGGCCCACGTGTGATAACGTCCTTAGCTGACCAAATATACATCATCTTTAATTAAAAGTACAGGAAAAAAAGGTTTGCATGTGTTGGATCTAATTAATGATTGATTTATGTGGCACATCCATATTTGACCAAATGATGTATCCATTTAATTAACAGTTTGTTTCCAATTATATCATTTCACTAATCCAAGGCCAGTGATTGTACATTTTCATAGGCAGGGGGGTTTACCATTGCCATCACACCCTCTCAGCCTCAGAGGATGACAATGGCAAACCCCCTCCAAAGAAATTGCCATGAAAACCCCATGATAAGTTCACCTTGGGGTTGCCATCAGTCAGCAATGACTTGGGGGCACACAACAACAATCAAAGTGCAAGAGTGTCATCCTATAATGGTTTTTTATTGTTTAAGCAGTTGTGCAAGCAGCTATGTGACCAGATGTACACAATGGGTGGCATGACTGTTTTGCACAATCTGCTGCACAATTCCTTGCCCATTTGTTTTGTACAGCCACTTATGCAAAGGTGTGATACAGCACAACTTCCACAAGCAGTGATTTTTAATTCTGCTGGCATTAAACTGGATTTAGGGCTATGTTATTAATTTATACTCTGTCTTTCTGCCAAGGAAAAGGCACTCGGGATGATTAACCATAATAAAATACAGATTAAAATCAGAATCCTAACAGGCTTAAGACAGACATAGATGTACAGTGGTGTACATCTGTTGGATCTGTTCCAGATAGCTGTAGTAGGTTTTTAGCACCTCTGATGGTTGTAGTTGGAAAGTGAGAGGAAAAATGGCCCAGTTTTGCTAGCTATAGATACTGATATCCAACATTTTACAGATGAAAACTGAAACATGTGTTGCCAAGGTACACCAGAGTGTAGTCTAGGTGGCAAAAGATATTATTGAGGAAGAACACACAAGCCAGGAGGGGCTGCAGAGTTTGCTTTTGTCTGAGCAACTGTTGTTCTATTGCTACCTCCTCAGAGGGAAGACAATGCTTAGAGAGTTACTTTTTTGAAAGTATGTTATTTTAAAAGTAACTGGAACTGAAACAGTTCTAATTCCAATGCCCCCAAATGTTAGTTATCATGATTGTTACAATTTATCTTAATTTAAGTTATTAATTTTAATTTAATTTTGATTTAAATTAATAATAACCCTTTTCTTTCTGAATGATTAAAAAAATAGCTCCTTTCTAGTTCCTTTCTTTTAAAAAAATCTGAATGCTTCAAACTGCTGGCCTGTGATATAAAATGCACTGTCTTCCCTTTCATCTTTTATCACTTCACCACCCACAACAAACCATGAGGCATAAGTCAGCTTGTGAACTATGTTGTGATATTCCTCCTCTACCACCAAATGAGCCCATGTTTACATAATTATCATTCATTCATTCATTCATTTGTTTACTTGTTCATTCATGCAATTAATATTCCACCTTTTTCCCAGTATAGGACCCAAGCTGGATCACAACAAAATACACTTAAAACAATGAATAGTATAAAAGTTTGAAAAACTAAATAAGCAATCATGCTATAACATATAAATAACTAAAAGTTACAGTTATACTGCAAAAGGGATATAGTTATCCCTTATTAGATTACATCATCCAGTTCTTAGGCCTTAGTTACTGGAAATGCAATTAGCCACAAGAGAATAGCTATTTGTAACTAATTACATCCTAGCGCTGGTGTTTATTGTGTGATGATAAATGTCCTTTGTCTCTGCACAGATGCTCATATGCATGAATCTATACTCTTCCTATTATCTATATCAAGCCAGAAATGCTGCTTTCATTATTCTTTCAATGTCCTTACTAACCTTAAATTTCCATCCAGTTGCCAGCAGTGAAGATGGTGTTCAAACACCTGATCTAGATATTAAAATGTAGGATAATTTTGTCTCTTCCTAAATACGACCCCGAACATCTCCTGTGCTCAAGTTCTGTCCTCAGAATTGCAACAGACATCTGGGCAAGCCAACTGTTTCTGTTAATTAATTTTATATTTAGTGTTTGGCTGTTGCCACCATTTGTTCAGAAGCTTTCTTTTCTTTATTTTCATAATATTTGTTTTTGTCAGGAACTCAAAACAAACAATAACATTGTGAGGTGCAGTGCCATAAAAGAAGTTTCCAACATGGAAGTGGGGGGAGAACCAACATGAAAGTCTCTTTAGGATGATACATCCGTGCCAAACTACATGCAGGGATGAATCTAAATGAGTGAATTTAGGTAATTAACACACAGCCAAGCCAAAGGAATATAGCTGGAAAAGCTGCCAAACACCAATTACCTGTACAGCTTTAAAAAAAAAAAAAACACACACACACACCAAATGAACAGACAATAAGGATTTTCCAAAAGCCTTTCTATCAAAGCCTTATTATCAAAATCCTTATGGGCAGCTCTTCTTCTCTAGATAAGCAGAGCATGATAAAATAACGCAGAGTATGATAAAAAGACAGGCAGCATGGTGTAATGGTGTGAGCGTTAGACTATGACACTGGAGATCAGGGTCAAATCCCTGTTGGGCCATGGAAACCCACTGGATGACCTTGGGCAAGTCACATGCTCTCAGCCTCAGGGGGAAAGCAATGGCAAACCTCCTCTGAACAAGCCTTGACAAGAAAACCCTGTGATAGTTTTGCCTTAGGGTCACCATAAGTAAGAAACATCTTGAAGGCACACAACAACAATAACAACAACAACAGGAAGCTTAGTTTCAGTCAGTTAAAAGCATGACTGAGGCCATCCTTGCTGCCTCAGACAGAGTGGCAAATAGCAATCCCACCTTCCAGCAATCTCCTAGCAATAATAAATAAAATGATTTGGTCATAACCACAAATTGGCTATCTGAGACTGGATTGCCTCTGCTGGCATAGACAAACTAATGATGGTGGAAAGGGTAACAGTGGCAAAAAGAAAAAGAAGACTGTGACATGATGGAATAAAACCATCCAAGTTGTTTTGGCTGCATATTCCTGCCTTCAGAAGCAAGGCAATGGAAGAACAGCAGCTTGGGTCTAATCTGCACTGCAGAAATAATGCAGTGTGACACTGTTTTAGCTGCCATGGCTCCATGCTATGGAATCCTGAGGTCTGTAGTTTTGTGAGATAGCAGCCTCTGTCAGAGAGCACTGGTGCCACAACAAATTACAAGCCCCAGAAATATTGTGGATAAAGCATGAACAGAGACCCATTTAGGAATTCAGGAAAGTAGAGTTTTATTCCTTTAATGCTGACAGCCTCTGACAGAGAGCCCCTCCCCTGCTAATCAACATCCTGATATACCATCTTACACAGCTAGTTTATAATTACATTAACACATGCATAACTCAACATCTTCATTGGTTACAAGATATAATTCCAAACCCCCTCCTTTCCTGATTATGTTACATCTTTACTTGCCATGCACGAACAAATTTAGCTTTCTTCCCTACTCCCTACTGTGCATACCATCAATGTTATCTCCTTTGGATTGTGGAACTACCTTCAAAGCCAAAAAAAAAAAATCCATTTCAATGAAGCAAAGCTAAAAAAAAGTCTTTTACAAACTGCCTTGCAAATGCACAGTTTTAAACATAGAAAATGAGACCGCAAGGGTCATCCAATCCAGCCCCAAATTAGCCATGAGCTTTGTAGTTTCTTTTATATTATTTTTCATCTCTTACAGAACTCCACAGCATTGATTCATGGCAGTTAAAGCAATGTCAAACTGCATTATTTTTGCAGTGAAAATTAGACCTTGCATCTAGCAGCCACCTCCTTCCACTTCTACCTCTCCCTCTATTATTAATGAGTCCAAAGAAAGTGCTACTGCAACAAGTCCAAGATGCATTTCCTGCACCTGAGTCATTTTGGGAGCCATATTGACTGCCGTAAATGCCCCCGCCCTTGCAAAAGCCAGAAACTATTCTTATTCTGAAAAACAGGGTAGTTTAATATTAAACTTTGCAGAGGAAATTGTAGAGGAATTAAATCAAATGGGGAATTGCCATCCAGCATATGGAGGAAGCAATTTGCTCTCCTTTTTGTGGCCAGAGTCTGGCGTCTGCAAGAGTTAAGGACCACATATACAGCTTTACTTTTTCCACCCTTGTGCTAATGTCACAGGAATTTACATGAGCACAATATCCAAATAAGACTCCAGCAAAGGTCACATCCTCATTCTGCCTAATGGTGGAGGCAGTTTGCTTCCTGATGCAAAGGACAAGAGGACACCTCCTTCCTAGCCTGTGTGCCAAAGCTAGCCTCATTGGCAATGGACACTTACTTGTACATTGATGATATTTGCATGACTCATAAAAATATAAGCTTGCCTTGCTGCATGTTTCAAGAAAGACCTTTGAAAACAGTTGTCATGGATTAGTGAGGAAGGTCTCCATCCAGTGATGTGATTTGTTCTATTACAAAGCACAAGCAAATACACATGTCCAAGGTTAATGCAAAGTTTATATCCAATTAATATTTCATTGTACAAGCAATTGTACAGGATGTTGTGGAAGAGATTATGCATACATTTGTACAGAAAGTTGCATCCCAATGTAATTTGATGCATATCTGTTTGTGCAACTGCTTTGCACAGGTGTGTGCACAACAGTATAATGCAGTGCAACTGCACTAGTAGGGATGATCAATCTATTGGCATTAAAAATTATTAAGTATTAAACTTTGATTCCAAAGTTTTCTTTTATTGAATATATTCAAAACTTGGACCCTTGTTTTCAGTGTTCTGGACACTTCACTCTCTAGCCATCAATTCTCCACAACCATTCTTATGCAAAATAAAATAAATTTCTCATGATGCATCACTGAACAGAAAGAAACCCATGGGAAAATGCCATGCCACCCTTCATCTTTGAAACACTGGAATTGCTACCTCTATACTTAATGAGGATGAACCACTGCACAACAGAAAACAAATTAGGACTTCTGCACCGAAGAATTACTTGTATAAATTATTTTCCCAGCAGTTTTATTTGCCCCATGATTGTATTAATTCATTTGCTATTATTCACTGTAATAACACTGAACACAATGAATTCATTTAGTATTAATGCAGCTCTGAACTCCACTTCCCTAAGAGCTCCCCAGTAATTCAGAATTAGTTAAATGTACCATTAAAATAAAAAGTAAGTCACTCTACCCTTGCTGTGTGTGAGTGTGTCACAGCCTAGCAAAAGTTTCCTCTCACTTATTATTCAGCCACATATTAGTTCCATGGCATCCAAGTCAAAATGTGCAGCCCTTGACAGTCACCCACACCCACCTTGAATATTCATCTAGATGCATGTCTGGTTTAAACCACAGCTAGATAAACAAGTAATCTTTGGGCAACACAGACAAATATTAAAGAAACTGATCCTGCAAATTGGGTTAAGGGCAATTCCTGAATCCATCCTGAAAATCCTGATTTAGGATTGCCATGTGGCTACCCCTGTTGGTTCTCTTTTTTATTTATTTACTTGTTCTACATCTTTTTCCAACAGTTTTCAGCAGAGCACCCAATTGAAAGTTGATGAGTCCCGGCAGCTACATACACAGAGAGACAAAGATGCTTCACCAGAAGATAGTCTGCATTTTACTTCACTAATACAGTTCAGCAAAAGTATTTTATCAGTCAATGATTTAATGCAAGGCTAGGAGGCATGAAAATGAGAAGTGTGTGGAGGTTAAGTAACAAGAATCCCAGTGTGAGAAACAATTCTAATTAATGAAGTGAAATATGAATAAAATATAATCATAAACCTATTCTCAGCAGTAAACTGGTTTTCCAGAGCAATGACTCTAGGAAAGTTATTTTCTTCTTTCAGTTATTGAGAGCTTTTGCTTAAAGATAATGTTTGCTGTATGCTTTTGCTGAGAGATAATGTTTGCTTGTATATGTTAATGCCACACACAAAATGACCATCTTTTGGCATAATGGTGCTTCTAGAATGGTTCCAAGAGTAAATAGGCCTGAATGCTCAGTAGAAACTAAGAGCCGATGCAGACGGCCCATTTGGGGCGGCAGAGAGCTTTCCCAGGGAGCAGTGGATCGGGGCCATGGCAACCCCATGCCGTGGCCCCGATCCTCCCTTTTGCTGCCCCTAAAAGAGTGGCAAAATGCCACTCCTTTTAGGGACGGCAAAAGGCCACCCTAAGAGCTGGCACTGTGGATCTTCCGCACCTTTTGGCACAGCGTGGATCAGGGCCAAAGAAGGGCATCCTGACGCCGCACGCCGTGCAGCATCAGGCGGCATTGGGGTAGGGTTGAGGCAGCCAGCATGCAGCTGACCCACCCCAACTCTAGCCCCAGACCGACCCTTTGAGCCAGTCTGCAACAGCCCTCAGATGACTGAACTGAGGCTTTTGTGCTTTGAACATATAAGATGATGTGACTCGTGGAAAAGACAGTAATGCTTGGCAAAGTGAAGGCAGTAGAAAAAGAAGGACACCACATCACAGATGGATAGACTCAATCAAGAAAATCACAACCCCTAGTTTGCAAGATCTTATTCATCGGGTCACCATAAGGTGACATGACAGCAAATAACAACAAAAAGGTACCTCTAAATCAAAGCTTTGTATACATATTTATGAACCAATGTTTACCAAACTGGATATTTAGATTCAGGATGAAATCCTGAATGTTTTCATGCAAGCTCAGGACTGATGGGCAAGCATCACATTTTAAAAAAATAATTGTTGGTGTGGATACTACAGGTTGAGTTTCTCTTATCCGAAATGCTTGGGTCCAGAAGTATTTTGGACTTTTATTTTTATTTTTGGATTTTGGGATATTTGCATAAACATAATGAGATATCTTAGAGACAGGACCCAAGTCTAAATATGAAATTCATTTGTGTTTTGTATACACCTTATACACATAGCTTGAAAATAATTTTATACATAATATAAGAATCCTGTACATGAAACAAAGTTTGTGTACACTGACCCATCAGAAAGCAAAGGTGACACTATCTCAGCCACCCATGTGGACAATTTTGGATTTTCAAATATTTTAGATTTTGGAATTGCAAATAAAGGAGACTCAACCTGTACCAGTCAAACTTTTCTGTCATTGAAATAAAAAACAAAATCATAAAGATAATGCCATGCAATGCTGAGTAAATTTCCCAGATGACTATAATCATAGCAGACAACAAAAGGAATCATGCTGCAGTACACAGATTCATGCTTCATGGCTTGTGTTTTATTAAGTGATATGGACATCTTGAGTTGGGGTTTGTCTCAGGTACAGAAGGAACTAGGAAGCTGTCTTATAAACTTATCGCACTGTGTTCTCAGAATGTGATGAGAATGGAATGGAACGTATTTTATCACACGGTATGATCCTCATCGAGTTCCTACTCTGTGCTCTGACAGTCCCTATCCCATCCCAGCAGGAGAACTGTAAACATGCATCCTCAGCCAGCAAGAATGTTTTCAGACTGTTCCAGATGTGTGCAATATTCCTACCGGTATCAGTCTGTCCTCGTGTTCTGATTGGCTAAGACAGGGGTAGGCAACCTTTCCCCTTTAAGGACCGAGGT